AAAGAAGAATGTCAGAGGATTTCGATATAAGCCAAGAGGAGACTGGTTTTCCTTTGCTAAAGTAAGGAAACTTTGCTTCCTTTGATCCTGTAAACAAACGTTGGTTTTCACGAGGCTCACCGGCGCATGCGCAACGCTGACCTCATACGTCATCTGCCCGGAGCTGCTTCCATGTACAACTGTTGGCACAAGCTACAATAAAGTGATTATTACGTTTTGAATATGGATATTTTTCTTACAAAAATGCATTGATTCGCTACCGTAGGCCTTTGTTCACCCCCCGGAGCCGTGTGAGACACTTTTTTTATGGATGGGCGATTTTTATTTAAGTTCTTTTGGACTGAAGCAATGCAACACCCGCTGAGTGGCATTAAACAGCTTGAAAGATCAAAGACAATTTTTAATATAACTCCGACTGGATTCGTCTGAAAGAAGAAAGTCATATACACCTAGGATGCCTCGGGGGTGAGTAAAACGCAGCCTAATTTTCATTTTTGGGTGAACTAACCCTTTAAGGTTTAAGATTCTGTTCAAAGGTTTGTCTAAAATCTCTTATAGATAATTTCTATAACAGTCTGGTTCAAAAAGTACAAATTTCATTAATTTTCCCCATATGGGAATGGATTTGTAACTATAACTTCTAAACCCTTAAAGGCAGACCGACGGTAAGCTACAAGGTTATTAAGTGATGGTATATGCATCCGTTAAAGTCATTACCCTGCATAATTTCAAAAAAAATTTTAATCGTGTATAACAGTGGAGTTACTGGTCAAAAACTACATTACCCATAATTCTGCAGACAAATCTCTACCAATCAGAGAATTGAATTAAACAAATAATGCCAGAACAACACTTCAGTGGCCGCCCACTTCCATGAAGCATTGTGAATGACATAATAGAGTGAGTCTCCCTATTTTTATTTTTATTGTGTTATTTGCAGTGTTTCATTGTACACTCTAAAAAATGCTGGGTTGTTTCAACCCAATGTTGGGTCAAATATGGACTAACCCAACTGTTGGGTTAAAAAGCTAATTTAAAAATGTAACCAAAATTTAACCCAACAGTTGAGTTAGTCCATATTTGACCCAACATTGGGTTGAAACAACCCAGCATTTTTAGAGTGTATTGTAGTTCTTTCCATTGTTAAATTGTTTCCATTTCCAGTGTTACACACCGTTTTGTCAGATTTCCAATATGTTTTTGCTTCAAATCAAAATGTATTTGTTTCATGGCTTATAACTGTTTAGCAAAAAGGGACTTTTTAAAAAAAGGAATGGGGGAAATACTTCTGGAACCAATGCCCTGAAACAGTGGACAAAGATTAAATATAGTGCCACATAATTTGTTAAACTAAGACATGTTTCTGGTTTGTATCAACCACTCATTGCTCTCCATTATCCTTCACCTTAATGGTACAAGTTGATAAGGATGTTGTTCGAGATACAACCCCAGAGTTAAGCCTAACCTTAAGATCTGATTGGTTGATCTGAATGTTGTTTCAGGTCCAACAAGGTTGTTGGTCCAAGAACATGTCCTACTTGAGCAAATCCCATTAAGCTTCCCATCCATTCTATTAGAGGTGCTCTCAAAACCCCAATCCGAAAGTATTAAACTTTGACATGAATCCCACACGTTTGTAATATAGACATGAATAATATCTTAAATCAAGTGGCTTGTTGAGGAGAAGCATGCCACTGTGAATCTAAGTGACATTGTAGGAGTACATTGGAGTATTTTGAGAACACGAAGGAGTAAAATGATGTCAGAGACTTTAAATATTTAAGCAGCCACAAAGCAACACCCTGGAAACCACCCACAGTTGTCCACCACAGTTCTTAGGAAACCATCTGTGGTTTTAAACCCAAGCCTTTTTCTTTTTCTCGATCTATGCAGTGATGGACCTGATCTACTGGAAGGACATGGAGCGGACGGGGATGGTGCTCACAGGGCTGGTGGTGGGGCTGCTGTCGCTGTTCCAGCTGAGCATCATCTCTGTGGTGTCCACGCTCTCCCTGGCCATCATGTGCTTCACCATCTCTGTCAGAATCTACAACAAACTGCTGCATGTGCTCCAGCTGGGAGATGGAGTTCACCCTTTCCAGTGAGTCTCTGACCTCTTCTCCAGTCTTCTTCGGTTTTTATCTGATTCCAGATATTTTCTCAACATATCCTCACCTTAGTACAAATAGACCAAAATACTCATGGAGCAGAGCAACATTATGTGGGGGTCTTCTATACAACAATCTATTTTGTCAAGATTTTTAAAGCAAATTTCTTAATAATTTTAAATAATATCAAAGAAAGACTGTATATAAGTGAAATTAATTGTACTGTGCAAATAAGCTAAAACAATAAATATATTAACATAACGATTAAACTATATTTAAACTATTCTTTCAGAAAATGAACAGGGTTGACAGTTTTTTACATTCATTTGACATCACAAGCCTTGTGTTTAAACATCAAGAGACTACAAGGTGCTTATTAGAAATAGGTTAATACTAATATTTTGGCTATACTAAATTATGGTAACTGTTAGATTATTCTCTACATAATAAAGTATACTGATTTACATTTACTGCATTGTTCGACTGATTTGTAATAATTTTACATGCTTACAATAACTAAATAATTTTCAACATGGCCAACATTTTTGCCGCTTATGAAGTTCTTCAAAAGTCTAGTTTATTGCATGTCACTTCTGCCCAAGATGTAATTTTGTCAGATTTTGCAAAAAGTGTAGAAAATTTATTTTTGGCCATTATTAGAAGATGGATTAAATGGTGGAAGCCCGTTTCCGCCACTGAAAAAAAAAAAAAAAAAAGGTTATTGCGACTTTGTATCTCACAATTTGGACTTTTTTTCACAGAATTGTGAGATATAAACTCACAGGTGCGAGTTATAAAGTCAGAATTGCGAGATATGAAGTCACAATCGCAAGATAAAAACTCACAATTCTGACTTTTTTTAAAGACTGATATGTTATCAGAATTGCAAGTTTATATCACACAATTCTGACTTTATTTCTCAGAATTTATATCTCACAATTAAAAGAGTTTATATCTCACAATTATGACTTTTTAACTCGCAATTGCGAGTTGATATCACGCAAATATGAGAGTAAAAGTCAGAACTGTGAGATAAAAAGTCACAATTACCTTTTTTATTTTTTTATTCAGTGACGGAAACGGGCTTCCATATTAAATAAACTAGTGAGAGTGTGAACGTTTTTTTTTTTCATAGGGCCAAAAAAGCAACTGTGCAACTGTTAAAGAAACAATTATGGGCTCTGCTTTGGATAAATATGTCATCTTGAAAATAAAATGTATGTTTAATGTCAGTGTGTAAGGCTGTGTCTGTATGTATTGATGTGCTGCAGGTCAAATTTAGAGTTGGACATCAGTTTAAGTGGGGAAGAGGTGCAGCACTACATGCAGAAGGCCATTGTGCTGTCCTGTTCTGCCGTAGACACAATAAGGAACCTCATCTTTGTGGGCAACCTGTTCAACTCCCTCAAGGTGAGGCCTGAGAACTGACGATCCTGTATAAAATTCATTCATCTGAATCTGTCTGCTAGATCAATGAAATATATTCCACATTGATGAAAAAGGATCACTCTCATAGAATGTTTAATTTTGTATTTTTATTTCTCTCTCTGTGAAAAAAACATCTCTCTTTCTGAATGTATCACATTGCTGGCACACATTCATGTTTCTAGTTTTGTGCTCTGTAATGCCTGTCAAAGATATTCTTTTCATTTCTCTTTTTTTCTGTCCGCTTCTATTTATTCAATTCTCATCTTATCTTCTTATCTTTCTTTTCATTTTCAGTACTTGAATGTGGCATTTGTGGCTTTTGTGTTTGTTCATCATCCTCTTGAGACCCAGAGACCCAGCTTTTTTATATATATAACATCTTGAGAAAAACTTTAGAACCACATTGTAATGAGAAACACCCTTATAATGTTTCATAGCAAGTTCTCATATTTCATAAGAATATTTTATTCAATTAATGTGCAGTGTCTCCCCAACAGAAAGAAACCAACTAATTTATTCTTGCTTTTTTGTTTCCATGAAAAAAGACTAATTATACATCAAATGATAAAGATAATTGCAAAATAATATACCTAACTGTTTCTCTTTCCATGACGTTAATAAATCCAAGGATGTTTGCATAACCACTGTGGTAATTAAAAAGGTCCTCTACAAAGGACAAAAATTATTTTCGTTATTTCAGGCCTCTCAGCTGTGCACTTAAAATAATGTCGCTCACAGCTGTCACTCTAATTACACTCAAGGCTTACCACACGAAATACTTCTGACAGTGTTTTGGGGTGTATTTTCAGGCACGTGTGGTCTATATGAGACTTGACATAGATTATCTCCCACACATTATGGCACAGAATTACAGAATATATGATACTATTCTGCATTTTGAGAGAAAAGTAAGGTTTCTAAATTCCTATTGTGTTTTTAGGCAAAATTTTATGACAGCATTTTAAAATGCCATAACAAATTTTCTACAGCAAAAATAAATAAATAAATACAATACACTAAAGTAAAATAATAATAATAATAATAA